AGTGCCTGCGGGGCCCCCCTGCCTGCGGGGCCGCCCTGCCTGCGGGGCCTGGGGGTGTGCGGGCAGCTGGCCACCCTCCTCTTCCCCGTCCCAGGCCCCCGGCGGCCGCTTTTCCTCCTGGTTTTCTCTCCTACCTGCAGCTCCCAGGCCGGCCCAGCCCCCTCCAGTTTTCATTGAGACATTTTATCCCCCAGCAGATTCCTGGGGCTAACCACTTTCGACCCCACCTGCCTGCTTCTAAAAGCATGTGCCCTCTGGCCACAACCACAGCAACAGTACCTTCCCCCAGCCCCCAAATTCGGGAGAGCCCCTCTCTAGCCCCTCCCTGGGACACCCCTCTGAGGCAGGCTCTGGCCCAGAAATACTCAGGTCTCCCCTGTTTTATGGCTGCTTTGCAGAGCTGAGGCCCAGGGGACCCCCGAGCCCCTTGCAGCACCCCAGCCTGCCTCAGATACCTGATATAAGGCCAACTGCTGATTTGACAAATGCCCATCCCACTTCAGCCATCTCCTATGGATCTCCAGCTGCTCTCTCTCAATGGGATTGTATTAGTTGTGGACATGCCCCAGCTCAGACATTTGTAAAAAAATTTTTGCAGTCCAGGCACTTCCACCTCCCTGACCTCTCCAGTTACAGCTGTAGGCAATGGTGGCTGAGGCTGGGGGAGACAACCCTGCCATCAGCTTCAGCTCTAAAAGCAGGCTCAGCTGGACTCCCCAGGACACCCAGCAGGGCTTGGGACTTACCCTGGCACCCACCGTGCACAGCCCCAAGAGACCCCCGTGCTCCCAGCTGCTTCCACAGCCACCAGCCTTGCGCTGCCAGGTGACGGCAGTAACCAACGGCAGTGTGAAACGTGAGATGGGAAATCTCTGCCTCAGCCTAAGCAACCTGCCTGCTGCTTTGCCAGGCTCGGCTATTTGCACTGAAACAGCCCAGGAAAGAGAAGGAACAACCAACTTGGCCCATAACTAGCTGAAACGGTGCCAGTCTCCAGTCCCTCCCGTTGCAGAGCAGCAGTGACAAATAGAAACCAGCAGCATCAGCATCAAACAGCAACTTCCCACAGCTACCTGGGCTGAGGAAGAACAGGTGTGCCTCTTGCACACACTTCCAAATCAGTTCCAGACACTCCCTCAGCCGCAGCAAACAGGAAACTCATCTGAAACTCTGCTCAGAAGATGCCCTCGACAGGGGAGGGAAGATACTCATCTCTCTAAGCAGGCGTCCCTGCTGCCCTGCCTTGAAATCGAGCCTGGGGAGAGCCAAAAGGGCCAGCTCCGCAGAGCAGGATTTAGCGGCACAACCAGCGCTATATTTAGTGAGCAATTATGGCATATTGGGAAGACCAGATTCACTGATTCCTACTGGCAAGCATCCTTAAAAATACCCCCACCAGAGTCACCCTGCATAAGGGGAAAGGCTGGTTTCGATTAAGTCAGTGGTTGTCTTGGCTCCCCACCAGGTTAAGTCCCCAATTATGAACTTTATCAACTCAAATGCAGCAGGAGTCTGTGAGGAGGGCCTGGGAGCAGCCACTGGGTTTAACATTTGCTGTTTGCATTTCCACAGCATCTGCAAAGCCTCAGTAGCAGGCCAGGCCCTGCCGTGCAAGCTCCTCTACAAACCCAACAGGGATACCCTGCCTGAGACACAGCACTTGGAGCCTGAACAGGATAAAAGACAGAAAAATGTACAGGACGGACAAAGAAACACCAAAATAATACAGTCAGCAGGTCTCTGTAGCTCAAAGACTTAAGAAAGTAACAACAAATGAGTTATTTTAAAGAAGGATTTTTTTTTTTAAGGAATGGCATTTGTTTTGCAGGGGAGCAAGCTCAAGTGGGAGGGCAACATGGAAGAAACAGGAAGGTGTTAATCTGAAATGCAAACAGGTGTGTGAAACCCAGGCGAGGTGGGCGGGTGAGCTGATACCACAGCATGGGGTGGCCTGGGAAGACTCTTGAAAATGAAGACCAGCTAGAACAACAGCCAGAAATGACCCATGCAGCAGCATTTAGGATGACAAATGGAAAAGACTACGTTTGCCTTGGTCAAAGAATAGGATTTTGCATTTATCCCCAGGCAAAATGCCACCAGATGAAGCTTTGTACAGGACATCTCAGGGAACTTACTGTACCACCACCAAACAATCTGGCTGTGCTCTCAGCTTTAGCCATAGCTAAACTGCAACCACAGGGTATGTCTGGCTCCAGCTCACCAAAACAGAGCTGGGGATGCCCAACGCCGCCAGCAAATTCAGCAGCTCCCCACGCTCCACCAAGCAAATCCCAGGCAAGTAAATCTAGGTCAAGCCCTTTCAGAGAGCACCCTGCAGCGAGGCTTTGACTGACACTCATGAGATTGCCAGCTCCACAGCACCCTTCCTCTGCAAGTCTCAAATCCCTGCCTGTGGAAGGAAAATCAAAACCTTCCCTGCACAGGTTTTAAGCCCATAGTAGTCATCAGCTCAGCTTGCTTGACCTGGCACAATGCTGGCCACCAGTTCTACCCACTTATACTGTATCAGTGTTTGCATTATTTTGAAAACTTAAACAGATTAATTCTCCTCTGGCCTTCTTGCTCTTTCTGAGTATTTCAAGATTTGTTTAAAAACAAGGCTATGCTGCAGCCAAGTCTCTTAGGACTCTTGCTGTTTACCACTAGTCCAGCATCCTCCTTCAGCAGTGAACTCAAAAGTCATCCTGCCTCTTTCCAAACACTCGCAGTTCAAAAAATTCAAATACAGAATTTGTTTTTAATACTTGGCTCTTCTATCTGACCAATATGTATAATACTTAGGATTTGTTTCTGACACATTTAAATAAAACTTTCACTTTTTGTATTTCATACCACCTCTGTTGATTGCCATCAATTTCTTTTTTCCTGTTTGTCACACATTCTTGTATGTCTAATAGCAGCTTTCCCTAAACGAGGCTTATTAAGCATTTAACTAAACCCACCCATTTCACAACTGTGGGTTTTGGTCATCTAGTAAATGCTTTTTAAACAGATCTCTATTTTACTTCACAGATTTTCTATTTAAATGTTACATTTCAACCCGAGTCATCACGCCCATCAACTTTGGAGGCACGAAGAGGTACACCACAGCTGGAGGGGGCTCTGTTAGCCTGCAGGAATGCGACTGGCATTTCTAATGAAGCCACCAAATTCCAATCCAGTGACAAATTCGTGTTTACCCATGACATGGATGCCAAACGGGCATTCAGAAATACATTTCCAAACCCAATGTTCTCAATGGCAATTTTCAGAGACTCAAATTTTGTTCTCTTGTAGGTTGTGTGAGCTCTGCAATCTACCTCTCTAAATTAAAACCTCTAACAACATCATTTTCTCTGTCCCCTGTGGCAAATTTGCAACAAGTCCTTGGCTTTCTGGATTGGTCTGCGACAGCCTCCCAGGAGCACCTGCTTTTGAGCTTTGCTAGTTTGCCTGCTGACACATGGGAGATTCAACACTGACTTGTAACCCAGCCCCTGGCAGTGAGGTGTCAAGATGGAGCACACTCCCACCTCTGCCCTTCCCATGGAGGCCATGATTTAATATTGCAATCACATGGCTCATCCTGCTTATCTCAGAAATGCCACTGTCACCGACTTTCTTCCAATCAAAGAAAACTTCTAATTCTTACTACCCAATCTCCTAGCGGACGCACACATGCAATTTGAGGTTTTCTCCCTGCTCCACTCCGGAAGCAGAGTTGACCTGTGAAGATCCAGATCCAATGGGATGCATGTCCATCACGCACGGGCTGGGGGGCTCACCCAAAGGGCTGCATTGCCCCCTGACTCCTCCTCGTTGGGGCTCACCTGCCAGCATCCCCCGTGGCACAGCGCAGCCTCGCAGGGCGCCCAGGCTGCTAACGCAATCTGAAGAGGGACGTGCTGCCCATCAGCGCTGAGGACAACCCCTCGCACCAGCTCGGTAAATGAATCTCCAACGGAGCTGCACCCAGCCGAGAGGCGAGCCCAGCCCCAGGCTCACAGCTCAGCAGAGTCAAGCAGTGACTCAGGACAAAACAAACCAGCTGCAAATATTTGAAGTATGTGGACGCCAGGAGGGGAGGAGCCACTGCCTACCATGAGAAGAGAGGGGATGAAACTAGGGCAGGGAATAATTAATCTGAGCAAAAGGCTAAACTCACTG